CATTTTGTATGTGTGCAACTGATGCTTCCTTCCTAAATTGAGTACTTTGAATTTGTCCTTATTGAATCATAAATAAATCATAGATCATAATTAAGAGATTATCAAGTAAATAAAAGACACACAAAGTGAGTATTCACCCATGAAAGCTTATGCTCCAATACGTCTGTTAGTCTATAAGGTGCCACAGGACTCTTTGTCGCTTTTTACAGTTCTGTTTGTGCACTTCTTGTGGGACACTGGGGGAAACAAGTTATTCAGTTCAAACTACAACATGAACATTGACTCGGATTGGAGCTGGAATGAACATTTGCAATTAGATAGGTTTTTTTAAATGAAAAATGTCTTTGCAACTGAAGGAAAAACTGAACAATGTTCATTTTGGTTGATTTTTTTTTCATTTTCTGATTAAACAAAAACCATAAACTGTTCAGGCTTTTGTTTGTTTGGTTTTGGTTTTTGTCTCTCGGTATGCTTACACCTCAGCATAAACCCGAACTAGAGCCCAGACTCCAATCTAACCCCCTATGCATCTATACTGCAATTGCACTAACCCATGGCTCAGACCCAGGGCCCCAGGACTCTACAGGGCTGGAGGGTCTGAGGTCGAGTTAAGCTGTGACACAGGGTCTGAGCTCTATTGCTTTGCAGTGTAGATGCAGCCGCTTGACTTGGGTTCCGGGAGTCAGACAGAATTATCCCACAGCTTCCTTAGTGCTCTCTATCCCAACAATCTGCAATCCAGTCTATTGAAAAAGGAAGCCATCCCACCTTTGTGAACCGTAGCAGCTCAGGTCAGTTTTACCCCATTATCTTCTGATCACTAATCGACAAGTGCACTATCAAAGAGCCTCCTAGGTTTTCAGTGGAGAGCAAACCGTGAGCTGCTTCCTGGTCACAGGAGCACAGCCAGATTTTGGTGAGTCTCTGGTGCAAGGCCAGTAAAACTGTGGACTTCAGCAAAAGCACCAGGAATGACCTCGAATACTAGCAGATAGCTAAAAGCTGACAGCTCGGCAGATTTCCTGACAGGTGATCAAAATGCAGGGAGAGTATTAAGAGACAGAAAAACGAGTACCAGAAGACCAGGGACAAGAACTGCACTTTGGGCAACTTGCCAATGACATACCAATTTTATGATGTCTTTGACCGGGTCCTGGGCACTGTGCCCAGCATAGAGGCAACTGTGCTTCATGATGACCTAATGAGCTGGGATGGAGCCCCTGAATCCAGCCTGGGGACTGATGGGAACCCGCAGCAGGTCCCCAGTCATGAGCATGGAGTGACTCTTTTAATGAAACCAGTGCCAGAGCAGGCTGTGGATCAGGATCAACAGCAAATTCTTGGTCCTTGCTCAGAAGAGCTGTCTGATTTCACACACTCACATCCTCACCTCTGAGGAACAACCCACTGCCGAGCCTGCAGAGAACCTGGTGGAGACAGAAGCTGCCCCAGAGCCCAGTAAGTGTATTATTACAGTAATGGGAGGGATTTCTGCTGTAAGAAGCAATGCAAAAATGGTAAGCCCCAGCTACCAACATTTGGCCACTAATGGATTCTACAACCATACCTAGGTATCTCCATGTCCACCAAGTGGAGTTCAAAATGGGAGCTTTGAACTTCAAACATTCATAAATAGCTGTATAGGATACTGTTCAGTCACAGAGGTTTGCTACAGTCATTCTTGTTTTCCTGTCAGCAATTAGAAATTTGCCACTCTGTAATCACTCCTGCTGGGTCTATGCCATCACCTGTAAACAGTGAACTGAGTGTGTGTGTGTTTGGGAAACAGTCTTCTCTTTCCAAATCCAGTCCATGTCAGTTAGACGTGATCCATGCCAGGGTGGAGTACAGATTTCAGCATGTTTGCATGCAGCAATAACGGGAAGCCATGTGTGAGCTAAAACAGTGTCATGTTAATTCCCTCCTGGATTCTGACCCAATCCTGGCTACTGATAGCTGCAAACTTTTCCCGAAGTGGGAACTCCAGATAGTCAGTCACATTGCAGGGAAGGTTGTATTTTCCAGACCTCCCCTGGATAGCTGACCAGTCCACTCCACTTGCAAATGTTCTGTTCGGGCACTATTTGTTTGAATACTTCAGCTGCATACAGTGCAGGTTTCCCTCCAGGAGCTTGGAATAACATCTCCCTCTGCCAATAGGGCACCACAGCAACAGTTACGGCTTCCAAAATATGAAAGGCCTGAAAAGGCAGAAAAAGCCTTTTGCAGCGAGGTCACTAAACACCCCCCTTCCATATGGCAATTAGTTATGATTTTTTTATGAAACAGAATAAAGGTTATAATTTGAAACTTACCATTGTCTCTGCACTACTGTAGCTGCAATTAACAAGGTTCTGTCCAGAGACAATATGAGGACTGAAGCAGTGTATAGGTTCACTTTAGAACTATTGCATTTTATGTCCTTGAGATGCCACAATAATTAATTCTGTGCTCCTTCACTGAGCTACTTTAAACAATAACCCTCTGTTCCTTGTCCTGTTTCAGGACCTTAAACCTCTACTGCCTGCTATTCTTCAGGAACTCGATCCCTGGCCCAACGTACTTCATGGACTGTTCCAAAAGGAAGTGTTTCTGTGATGAAGTTACAGTCAATGTTCTTGAGAGGGCAGGGGCAGTACGAGAAGAAGACTGGGACAAGGGCAAGCTGACAGCAGGAGGAAAGCCTGTGGCTCGCCACCCAGGTGGAGGACAGGGCTTGAGGGAGGGAGCTGGCACTTGCAAAGCAGATCCTGGAACAGGACAGCAGCCAAGGGAGGGGGACAGAGCTCAACAGAAAGAACTGTTCCAGCAACTCCTGTCTATAATGGCTGCAAGAGCACTGACGCCTGCTGCCTTTCCCTACACCATGGCATGATGCCCCAGCAATGTACCCTCAGCCCAGCAGTAGCTTAGACATCTCCAGGTCGCAGGGCCGCCCGCGGGGGGGGGGGCAAATGGGGCAATTTGCCCCAGGCCCTGCAGGGGCCCCGCAAGCCCTGGCCCGGTGACGGTCTGGGTCTTTGGCGGCATTTCGGCAGTGGGGGCCCTTCAGTGCTGCCTAAGATGCGGAGCGACTGAAGGGCCCCCCACTGCCGAAATGCCACCGAACACCTGGACCACCGCCAGGTGAGTACAAGCGCCACAGCTCCCCAGCTTTGCCCCAGGCCCCCTGAATCCTCTGGGCGGCCCTGCCAGGTCAGGGCAGCCCATGCATTCAGGACTCATGAGTGGCTGGGCAGGGTAACTAATCACTGTGCATCCTTCCTTCTTCCATTCTTCTTGGTACCCTCCCCCCCCCCCTCACTGCCAAGCGAGGGGTAGATGTCTAAAGAAGGGAAAAGAGAACATGGAGCCAGGGGACATGTAGCAGGGCAATTGTGGGGGCTATTAACAATTTCCTGCCCTTTCTTTTTGGGTGTGTAGTTTTCTAATGGTAGCTGGCCTGGCCAAGACGGTGGGAGTGGTTTAATGTTTTAAGATATGTTTACAAATAAAGCATGTCATGTTTTCAAGACAGTTTATTGCTATCACTGAATCACATTGTACAATCACTATTCGAGATAATAACAGTAAAAACATGTTCAGGAGCAATTAGGCATTAGTGAGCAAATTGCATTCCTCTATTTAGCTAGATACAGCAATTCACATGTCAATAAATTCCATCTGTACAGCCATTGTGCCCCCCAACCAAATTCTTTATTCATCATGTCATTCACATTTACATTGCAGGGCAATCAAGACCACCTCCTCCCAAGCACTGTCCCTCCTACCCCCAAATAAATGAGTCAGTTTTCTTTCCCATACACATTCATACAGGTGCTATTCGCCCTCTTCCATTGGGCCATGTGAGTCCATAATGTGAGAACATAAAGCATCCCTGACTTCTGCTGCTTCGGTGCAACCAGCTCCTGCAGTGGTAGCAGCACTTTCTGGCTGAGGGTACCAATCCAGCGTTCCCTTGCTGTCAGGTCTATTCAGTGGGAAATGGCTCACCTCTGGGCTTCACAAAGGTTGTGAAAAGCACAGCAAGTCAGAGCAATGCGGACAACTTTAATGGCTCTGGCATCCAGATGGGTTTGTAGACACTTCCAACGTGATTTTAATCTGCCAAAAGCACATTCAACAGCCATGCTACACCTTCTGAGAGTGTAAATTAAACCTTTCTTTGCCAGGGCCTCTGAAATCAGGGTATGGTTTTATGAGCTAAAGCAACAGGAGGTACATGGGGTTCTGCAAAATAACAGTGGGGACAGTAACACCATTTATGTCAATGTCATTTGCGGGGAAGTGTCTCAGCCTATCTATGAATGTAGACTCCCAAATGGCAGAAAACTCTGGCACTGTGAACTTTTCCTGTACAGCCTACATTGACATGCATAAATCTGCCTCTGTGGTCCACTAGTACCTGCATAACAATGGAGTAGTACTCTTTGCAGTTTATGTACTCAGGTGCTCCTTTAGGAGGGCAAACTATGGGCACATGAGTCCCATCAATAGCCCTGCCACAGTTAGGAAACTGCATTCTTTCAAAGCCAGGAATTACCTCAGGGATAGCTTTAATGCCCGCCATGTTGGGGTAAACCACATGCCTCATTGCCTCAGAAACCTCCACCACCACTTTACCCACAGTCGACTTTCTCTGTGGAAAAATGAAAGGGTGGAGGAGGGGATAAAAAGGATAGAAAGGGGGTAAAAAAATCCAAAACCTGGAATCCAAAATATTTTTGAGTTTCTATTTTGGAAAAAATCTACAAAAAAAATTTCTAACAATAAAACATTTTCTTTTTGTTTGAAAATGTTCAGTGAAAATATATAGCATTTTTAGTAGTTATCTTTTCAATATATGAGCTCAGAGATTACAAACAATACATTAATGTAATTGTTCCATAGAGAGGAAAAATAATGTTGAATGAAAATAAAACTCAGGAAGCCAGGGCAAAACCATGAAATTAGTAAGGAGGTCACTCAAGGGAGTTTTTCTGATGTCTCTCTCTCTGTAAAATAATGCAAGAACCATATGAGGAAAAAAAAGAACAACAACAAGACCAATATACATACAGGAAGTCTCAAAATTGTAAATGTAGTTGAAATATCCTGATAATGGATAACAAATAGTGTGGGAGGAAGCAAATTTGAAGGTGATAGACTGTTTAAGAGTTTGTAAAGGATTCAGACAAGAGAAAATCATCTTATACATGTAAAGGAAAGCCTGCAGATCCCTAAGCACCTGTTTCATGGGCTGCATTCCGGGTAATAAACAGGCGAGCGCGCCATGATTCTAAAGCTAAAATGGTTCTATATTAAGAGACGTGTTTTCAGAAATGCCACAACAGCAGCTAGCATTCCTGCCATGTACACACAGACTAACTTCCTGGTGCCTCTTCCAAATTATTCTTTCCTGCAATCTATCCAACATGCAAGGAGGAATGGAGTGTTTCTGCACAGGGTCTCTGATGCTTTAGACCTGCAGACAGCTTTACCTCTTCTTTGAACAACTAAGGCTGTAACAAAGTTAATAAAGGAGGAAAATAGCACAATGAAGAGACAGTAAAGAAATCAAAAGGGCTTGGGGGGAAAAATCCACAAGCTACTACTATTAAAAGATGTTAACTTCCTAAACATTGGCCCCATCCCAGCAAAGCACTTAATGACATGATTCGTAGACTATTCATGTGTTTGAAGTTAAGCACATGCTTAAGTGCTTTGCTGGGCCAGAGTCATAATGGGACACTAAAACTGGGAAGAAAAAAAAATGAGCAACAAATTTGTGGCCTTTGCATATGACTTACATAGGGAGTAATTCTAGATTTAGATTTATGTAATAATTGTGCTATAACTAGTGATGCAGAAGTGGCGGGAGAACCATCTAAACAACTAGGACTGTAATCTAGTTAAGAATTTCATTGGGATTAATGTTCAACTAAGAAACTGAGAAAACAAGAAGATTGGATTTCAGCAGAGCAAAATTTGGAAGAATGCAGGAAGTGCAGGGTGAAATTGAACAGGATAAAGCAGTGGAGGGAAAGGACACAAAGGGGAAATAGAAAGTGTTCAAAGATAAATTAATGTATGCCCAAGGGTTATGCAAGCCATCTAGCAATATGCACACCATCTAGCAATAATTGCACAAGGAATTTTTTTCAAAGGGGGCCAGTGTGAAGGAACAGAGAAATGTAAGAGTAATCAAGGGTGAGAAAGAGGCAGACATGGGTTATAAAACATCAAATGCAGAGCAGGATAGGAATGATTGCATAATAAAGTTAAGAGAGCATAAAAAAGTGATAAGAAAAGCAAAGGCAGAGAATGAAAGGAAACTTTTAGAAGAGGATAACATGAAATTATAACAGATTTTTTCAGGTGCTGTACATAAACAACAAGAGGCCAGCAAAGCAGATCATAGGACTTCTTAGAAAAAGGGAAAAGTGATTTATTAGCTGAAGAATTATAAACTGCTGAGAGACTGCAATATTTATTTATTGGTGTTCAAAAAGATGGGAAGACAGATAACAGAATCACACCTCCTCAGAGAGAAAGAAGACATATAGGAGGTATCATGACAAGGCCTAACAATGTGAAGTACTTATTATTATTTATAATTGAATCAGGAATAAGACACCATTGTACAAGGTACTGTACAAACATGTTACAATCTAAGGCCTCCATCCTGCAAACTTTTTGGTGTAAGTGGATTCCTGTGGCCAAACAGAACCCCATTGACTTCGGTGGGATTCCATGCAGGCATAGGAATCTACCTACATGAATTAGATTGCTGCAAGTGATGCTGTAGTGGAATCTTTGGCAAAAGGTAAAGTACCAATGTTGTTAACTCTTGCAAATTTCTCTTAAATTCCCAGGTATTGGAATCATGTGAGTACATGAGAATCTCAGCTTTCATTTAAAAATTAAGTTGTTAGTCTCCATAGTTGCAGAGAAAAGTTTGAAAACACAAACCCTAAAAGATAAAAAACTAAAAAAGTCAAATGAAAACAACCAAAGATTAAGTTCTAAAAATAATAATGATTTTTTGGTGCATGACTAACTGGCAATATTGATGATCTGGACAGAGTCTAATGAGAGCTATGTTAAAAACAAACACTAAAGATAACTCAAGAAGCTCCAAATCATAAACTTGATTTTAATGCTAATGAAAAATTGAATTTGTGTTTTGGTCTGCAGTCACTAAAGTTTGTGGTCATCCTGGTCTCGTCTGTAAATGAACTCTAAATTCATGGCTCAGTTTCCTACATCTCCTGCTCACATGAGTTTCACACTTGAGGCAGATGTTCTATTGTTCCAGTAGTCTGTAATTGTCATAGGAGGTCATGACAGAGATCATATGTGAGCTTTTAATTTTCTTTCTTCCAGCCACAACCTATTCTCTCACCCTGAAAGAATTTTTTCAAAGAAGTCTGGCATCCTACTTCCACTCAAACACATCATCTTGCAGAGCTTTGAAGAAACCTCCTCCCCACAGTTAAGTTAGCTTTGGATTGCATCATTTCTTTTTGATGAAAATGAAAGTTTACTCGGAAGTAGAGATGGACCTGAACTGATGATATCCTGGATCTGAAAAAACACACAAACTTTGAGGAAGGGTTTGGAATTCAAACGAGGATCCAAACTTCACTGATGGTGTCTCTCTTTCTCGCTCTGAGTCAAATTTTCTGACTGGGGCCCATTTCTTCTGAGAAGGGGCTAGAACTGAAAACATACAAAATGAAACTGGACATTTTTGCACAGCACTAGCCAGGAGTATTCAAGCAAATTCAATCTTCTTCTGTATTATTGCTGGAATTTTTCCTCGATGAAGGGCCTAACAATATCATGGCACAATCCTCCAAACATAGACCAAGACAACAGTTCTAACTAATCATGTAGTGCTTGGTTGTTTTTACTTGCTGAATTTCCCATGCTGCAGCATCTCCATGGAGCTGTGCATCCAAATCATTGATGATTACATGATGTTAGGTTACAATTTAGTTCAGCTAGTGTTTAAGGAAGATGAATATAACAATGGTACCGATTCCAATAACTTCCTTTCTTACACCTCAGTGTGAAACCTCTTAGGGTAACAAAAAGTCATTCCCAATACAAAGGAGGACTTCTCTCTTTTCATCTGTGAAACATTGCTTGGTGTTTTCTCATTTTCTCCCATTTGTTTTCCCCACCGAATTTTTGGGTGCTAGATAGCTAGCAAATATGCCAGATTTGTTTGACTGAGGAAGTGTTGGAAGAGAAAAGGGAGAGAAACAAACTCAGCTTGCTGTAAGAAAGTGCAACTCTTGCTGAAGTCAATGGGAATTGTGCCCGCTCATGCCAACCTGAGTTTGGCTGAGAGAGAAAGAGAGAGAAGTCAACATTACAGTTTATATGATCCCTTCTCACTAGGAGCAGGTGAACTCATTTTACCTTACTTTGAGCCCATCTCCATTACTGTAGTTTGACCAAAGCATTATTGGGTTTATGTTCCATCTCAGAGTCTGTGAGAAAAGGAACAGATCAAAAAGAGAGGAACAACCAAATGGAAAAAAACATATCCATGGTACATTAGATACAAGGCACTCACTTGCGCCATTTGGCTATTATGGCAGGGGCTGATGTTCTGCTAGCCTTAATACATAGCACACTTCCTTTCAGCTAGGAAAAAAAAGGGGGGGAGGGTGTTATTCAATCACATTTGAAAGAACATGGAAGATAAATTACAGGGAAAAGTTTCACAAAATTAGACTTGTGGTTAAACACAAAATATAATTTAAATGATCCACAAAACCTCAAATTCTTCAAAGATCACCTATCCCTTCCTTTCACTGTTCTCTTACGCTACAGAAAGTACTCCCTATTCCTTATGAGAATACACGTGGAGCACCATCAGGCAATTATTCTCAAGTACACTTCTCTGGCAGTGCAAGGCTGAGATTAGCACATTTACTAAAAATTATGTTGGTAGCACTTTGTCTAGACAATGTAGATATGTCAGTACCAGCAGATCTGGAAATTGGGGATAAGCAATAGATGGTTATACTAAACTTCCCCTTCTCACTGCTGCCAAATGAACTGAGAGGAAATATTAAACGTACTATAATTCTCCTCCAACCACCAGCATTCCTACTGCTCTATCGATATACATCTACCATTGTAAATTGAATTCATTTGCATTTGTGTTGACTAACTATCTAAACTCAGTTGTGTTAGCATTAATGGTAATTTAATATAAATGGGCCAAATTCTCCCTCTGCTTCTATCTGCCTCAGTTTTGTGTCTCAATAGCTAAAGAAACACAGAAAAAAGATACAGATATTACCATGAAAATCACACTTACAACATCAAAATGATTTTTCTTTTAAATTGGGGATTAAATATAATTATTTTTATCTTATATGCACTTTTATGCTTAACAAATAAACGTGACCTGTCTTTTAAGCTTTGTATTTCCTTTCTGCAGCCACTAGAGGGAGAAATCTGTTACTGGAATCTCATGGCTTCTAGTCTATTTTTGGAACAGCATCAGAAATATTACTGTTACATGAAAAATCTTGTCTCCTGTGTGGTAAGCATGAATAACACAATAAATAGCATCTAAAAACAAAGTGAAATACACTTTTTTTTTTACAAATAAACTCCAAATAAAACCCTCAAGCCTTGCAAATTTAAACACTATGTTAATTGTTCTTGCTTTGCCTGTATTACAAATCTTTCTATTGTGTTTATTCCCATTGCATCCAGGGGCTGGGAGTCCAAATAGGAAGAAACCAGTGTACTGGTTTTCCATCAATATACAAACAAAGGTTGGATTCTAGTAGCTTAAACTAATAATGATGAAAATACCATACAATTATCTATTAGCACTAAGGGGCATTGGAAATCCACTTTCGACTGAAAACAAACCCTAAGCAGTGACATTTTTGTTTAAATAACTTGGACATTATAAATTCCTGGATGTACAACCCTCCTTTTATTCCATCAGCCACAAGAAAGAGACTTGTATTGGTTAAGGAATTTGCTTGTATTGTTGTACCTTGAATACTTCAAAGAGAATAATTATCACGAGTATCTCATGTTGACAAGGCCATTTTGGTATGAAAAGTTATTGAGACAAAATTTTCAAACTTGGGTTGCCCAAAGTTGGCACTTAAATCCACACTTCAGTGTCTAAAGAAGAAGAGGTCTGAGAATCGGGGTGCTGGGTCACCACGACTTCCATTGAAGTGCTCCTTCCAATTAACTGGATTGCTGATGGCTAGCGATGCGCAATTGACCCTGGCTTCATACACTAGACACAGATAAAAGGCCTCCTTATGGACCATTTTTCCTTGTAAGGAAGGAGAATTTATGAGATCAAGGCCTGGTCTATGTTCCTTCGCTTAGATGTACATAGTTCCTCTTGTTGGGCCTTAGTTCCTTAGAATCATAGAACATTAGGGTAGGAAGAGACCTCAGGACCAACACCAACACCAACTAAATCATCCCAGCCAGGGCTTTGTCAAGCCGGGTCTTTAAAATCTCTAAGGATGGAGATTCCACCATCTCCCTAGGTAATCCATTCCAGTGCTTCACCACCCTCCTAGTAAAATAGTGTTTCCTAATATCCAACCTAGACCTCCCCCACTGCAACTTGAGACCGTTGCACCATGTTCTGTCATCTGCCACCACTGGGAACAGCCTAGCTCCATCCTCTTTGGAACCCCACTTCAGGTAGTTGAAGGCTGCTATCAAATCCCCCCTCACTCTTCTCTTCTGCAGACTTAGTTCCTAGTTCCCTCAACCTCTTCTCGTAAGTCATGTGCCCCAGCCCCCTAATCATTTTCGTTGCCCTTCACTGGACTCTCTCCAATTTGTCCACATCCCTTCTGTAGTGGGGGGACCAAAACTGGACACAATACTCCAGGTGTGGCCTCACCAATGCTGAATAGAGGGGAATAATCACTTCCCTTGATCTGTTGGCAATGCTCCTACTAATACAGCCCAGTATGCCATTAGCCTTCTTGGCAACAAGGGCACACTGCTGACTCATATCCAGCTTCTCGTCCACTGTAATCATCAGGTCCTTTTCTGCAGAACTGCTGCTTAACCAGTCAGTCCCCAGTCTATAGCGGTGCATGGGATTCTTCCTTCCTAAGTGCAGGACTTTGCACTTGGCCCTGTTGAACCTTTATCAGATTTCTTTTGGCCCAATCCTCCAATTTGTCTAGATCACTCTGGATCCTATCCCTATCCTCCAGCATATCTACCTCTCCCCCCAGCTTAGTGTCATCTGCAAACTTGCTGAGGGTGCAATTTATCCCATCGTCCATATCATTAATAAAGATGTTGAACAAAACTGGCCCCAGCATCCCCAGTGGCTCCTGCTCTGCATGGGAACAGATTCCCACATTGCAGATCTCAAGGGAATGCAGGGGAACTGTGTTAGAGTCATTCCCCTCCTCCCCCCCCCCCCCAAAACAAACCTAAAAGCAAATAGAACAGCAGGAACAGGAGAGCATTCTCACACCTGCCTTACACTAAGGAATGGATCTGGACCTAGGCTACTTTGACACCATTCTTATAAATCAACTGGGTAACTATAATTGTTGCTGAAAGGTCCTATATTTATATTTATTGGTTCAGGGGCCTACAAAAATGCAATATTCTCTCTGCTCTCTGTGCCATCCAAATGATTTTTTTCAGAGGTTGTGTGTTGGAAAACTTTAGAAGGTCTTCCAGCCATTTGTTTATTAAAAGCTATTCCAGAGTAATTTTTCATTCTAAAAGGATTTCCACCAGGCCTTAAAAGTTACGGTGTATGTAGTAAGTATGCCATTCACAAACATTTCCTTTAATTGCAAAGTTTCTCTATGCCGGAATCTGTTCTACACTGATTCCACAATATGCACTCCCCATAAACCTGAATTACAGGCTAGGCTTCATTTTAAGTATGAAATATTAAATGAGATCCTAATAGTTAAATCAGTCCATTGTCATTACAGTAGTGTAACTCGGGTTGGCAGACCCCAGCCTCAGTGATGTCACCATCACCATTTATACTTGGCTATGGTAGTGAACAGAGCCCAATTTGTATGAATTAGCTTTGATCGATTAAAGGTATTAACATTTTTTTTATCCTGGATCAGTTTGAATTATCGGCTGCTTTTTAGTGTTTTAAAAATGCATCTCAGTGACTTAAGACGACAGGTTAAAATTGTTAATAGATTGCCGTGAAAAAGACAGAAGTGTAGTTAGCATTTTTGAAGCCAAAGTGGAATTGTGGAGGATTAGAACCTCTGATCATCAGATGATCCAAGCCACATTTTGATACCTTTGCTCAGGCTGAATGGATTGGTACTATACACCTCCAATAGTCCTACTCTCTTTGCAGTCAGAAAGGATATCAGATCATTGGGGTTACTCAATGAGACAGGGGCTACATGATTGGAGTTTGAATGGCAGAACCTACCTCACAGTAAGGAAACCATTTCCTTATCTTGTAGGGATAGTTTATTTCTGGCTCTTTAAACACAGCCGTAAGGAGGAGCAGATACTCTGCCTACAGGGAGCACTGGGATGCATTGTGGCCCCACAAAGGCACAGTTCCTCCTGCAGCCCCTTTGTTTCAGCTAGGGAGGGAGTATTCTGAGGTGCCCTTTTCATGGTGCAGCACACTCCATTCCACAGCAAGTGGGGAGGATAGAGTCATGGTTTTGCCAACTCCTTGCCTCACCTGATACACTTGTTTCTTGGCATTTGGCATTCAGCCCCTCTTCTGTCCTTGGCACACAGCCCTGCTTATATTTTCTTACCTCCTGACTTGGGGAAAGTCTCTTCCCCCAGTGGTGCTGATTGCACATGCACAACTGCAGGCAGTTCCTGTCAACAGTTCTGCCATGGCAGGGCGCAGACAGCAGCCAACCTTCAGCAGAGCAGAACTCCCTGCAGAAAACCATGGGGAGGCAGCTGCTTTTAACGATGAGAGAGGCCTGCGACCAACTGAAGGTCAGGACCTGGGTGTCTGATAACCCCAGTTTGCTAATGAGCAGTTTCTAATACCCCTTGCTTCAGCAGTTATGCCCTGTCCAGGATTAATACTTTTGGGGCTGCAAAATTTCATAACAAACCCCCCCATACCAAGTGAAACTCATCTATTTTTGGATTTCAGTAAATGCCCCAAACTAGGCACTGTTGCATGGAGGGAGGTGAACCCGTACTGAGTTTCATGCAGACATGCCCTGTCCCACCCGGGGTTGGGGATGAGGGAGGGATTTATGGTGTTGCATAGTTTGGCCCAAACCCAGGAAAAACTTGGCAGCTATGGTTAACTTTCACTTTGAGATTCAAATCTCAAAGCGATGCTCTGGGAGTGAGTACACAATAGGGTGCTGCCTGTCCAGGTTTTCCCAGGGTCATCCCGTTTTTGAAGTAGCTGTTGCAGGAAATCTGTGAGGGTGCTCAGTACACACTGCTAACTGTCCAGTTTTATGGGCTCAGTATCCCCTGCTGTACTGTTGTTTTGTCACCTCAGAGAGGCAACCTTAGTACACAGGCTAACCAAAATTCAAACCCACCCCGTGCTCCCGTGAACTGAAAGAGCTGAGCTTCTCACAGCTCTCTAGGTACCTATCCCTCAAGCGTAGTCCCAGTTGAAACTTACTCATATCCTTCAAGCA